AGCTTTCAATATACGGAATTCAGGAAAGACAACCCCCCTCAGAAACAGTAATGGGAGCAACCATTCCAGGAGCAGAGGGAAGGGAAGGAGGAAGAAGGGGGAATGGATAGCAGAATAAGCCCCTCGGGGGAAGAATACCAGGATAGTAGGTGAAGAGATAGAATAAGCCATGTGAGATATGTATAAATAATAGTAACAATGCATAATATACTACGAGTTTGGGGGAGACTGGCAGGGTGGGGGTAAGGGGGGAAGAGGAACTGATCTCAAAGGGCTCAAGAAGAAAGATTATATTTAGAAATTGTTGATGCCAATAATTGTACCTGTCCACTTGAGATAACAGATGTATGGATTGTTATAATATATGTAAAAGCCCATAATTAAATGATTTATTTAATTTAAAGAAAGCCCTTCCACATGATGCTAATGGGAATAAGGCTGTGGGTAGAGAGAAGAGAATGTATGCAGTGAGCGAATGTGCCCTTGTTAAGATGCAATGAGGAGTCCTTCTGTTTTCTAGGAACTCACGGAGAGGCACAACATACAACTATGTGATTAGCTCTCGGCTGGGAAGAAATACATATAAAGAACAATATGCCTTTCTCTATAAGTAAGTATCATCCATGCCGCCCAGAACATGGTCCCTTTATAAACTAAGGCTGTGGATGGCTCACCCCACCTGTCTTGTCCTCAAAACCTGGCTTTGATCTCTAGCTAGTTCTATGTTCATCAAAAGAACTGCTGTCAGTTGGGGACGGATGCAAAGTATTAACTCTTCAAAATAGAAAGTGCAAGCAGTTTCCTAACAAAGTATCTGTTGGTTGGGTCAACAGTTGCCTAGAACAGGAGCTCTTTATTTTGCATGGTCAAGTTCTAACCCAGCCCTGGAAACCCAGCTGCCTAGCATGGCGGCCTCCTAACTTCCGCCTTCTTGTCTTTTCTCTGCTCGTGGTTTGTGTTATGTCTGAACATTGATTTGTGGGTGCCCCAGGGGAGGAGGATGGCTCAGGCCTTCAGCCTCCAAAGGGCTCTGGCCATTATTGAGAAGAGTTGACTCAGCCTTGTTCTTGGGCAAAAGATGCCTTACAAGCAATGTCTCATGGAATCCTGACTTCATGGAGCCATTGAAGCTGATGAACTCCTAACACTACTTCCCTGATATGATCCTTGAACCTCAAACCAAAACGATCCTCTGATGTCCTCTTTAAACCAAACCATCCCAAACCCAAACACCAAACCCACTGCCATCCTGGCCAACAGGTTCGCTGAGTTAATACAGACTGCCCACCCCCCAGTATTGTGCTCTTTAAAAGAATAATCTATGGTCGGGGGGTGGGGGAGCTGTGGGGGGGAGGCAGTAAACCTTTGAGGCAGAAGAGCCAATTCTGTCCCTCCCAACAATTTAAAACTTAATCAAGAGCCATAAATATATTTTTACCGAAAATGAAATCACCGTGATCTAAATCTCATCTCAATGAAACTCTGATAGTTTTATTTTCATGTTCAATGTTACGTCTGAGCCAGGAGTATGTCCTGGAAGGGCCACATATGGCTCTCGAGCCGAGCCGCAGTGTGCCGACCCTGGTCTGTGGGACCAGACTGAACACCCGGACAGCCGCAGCTCCAAAGGAGAAGGGAGACCCTTAGGCAGTGTAGTGTAGCAGCTGCTGAATGGGTGTGTGTTCCGAGGCAGAGATTCATTCGCAACAACAAAAAAGAAAATCAATTCATTTGAAAGCAAACAACAGATCCCTCCCGTGGGTATGCAGCCCTGAAAGAAACAAAGCAAACGGAACAAACTCTATCTCGGGGAACCTTCTCCTCTCTCTTCCAGGGAGAAGCTGGTGTCCGTGAAGAGAAGCTACCTCTACCGCGACGATCAGGATGGCGATGAAGACGTGTTCTCCAGGGAGCCCTTCGTGGTCTGGTTTCAGTCGCCCCACACTGGTGAGCCCCCCGGCCCTCTTGCGCATGTGCGCATGACCTGCCCAGAGACCTCATGTGTGGGGAGTAGCCGAGTGTGGCCTGCCACGCCAGGGTGCACGTAGCATCAAAAGGGGGTCATGGGGCGTCCATGAGGAACATCTTTGAACACCTACAGTTGTGTTTGACGGCACCAGAATCACTTCTCAGAATGTCACGTCTCATGACCTCTGCGTTAGCAGTCCCTCCACTCTCTTTGGAGCATTTAGGCTGGTGGAAGTGATTTTCTGCAAACCCTCGGGTCGTTCCTCAGTGATGAGCAGGGCAGGTGCACCTCAGGCACAGAGTCCGACCCGCCCTCCTGCCTCGGCATCAGTTTCCTCCCCACACAGCCTGGGCATTGGGAGGAAACGCAGGTGGACTTCATCCTGACTTGAACCCCGCAGGTGCTTCTATGCCAGTGGCTGCCCAGCCGCCCTAGTGGCCCTGTGTGTGTCAGTCTCAGGCTGTACTCCGTGATTTCACACCCCGCCTCCCCCATGCCAGAAGTCTTTCAAGGAACCCCTGGGTGAACTTGAACTTTCACCCTTGCCATTAGCAGCCAATTGCATGAACGGTTTGTACCGCCTTAGGATTCCTGGTACTTACCCTGTTCCTGCGCTCCTTGTTAGCCACTGTCCAGTCGATTTACAACACACAGTCCCCGTGTGTCAGACTAGAACTGTCCCCCGAGGCTTTCTGGGATGGCATCTTCATGGGAGCCGAAGGACAGGTCTTCCCCCAGGGAGCATCTGTGGAGATTCAAGATGCCAATGTTTTGGTGCTTAACCATTGTGCCACTCTTAAAGGACATGGTAGAACTGCCTCTGCGGATTTCTGTAACGGTAACTCTTTACAAGAGGAGAAAGCCTCCTGGTCCTTCCCCCACAGAGCACGTGCCCATGATGCGGACAAGGTTCCTCCCTGCCCTGATGAAGTGCCTGCCATTCTATAGGAATGGCTCCGTGTAATTGTTGCACCCCGCCTACAAGACAGGAGCTAGGATCATGTTCACGTTACAGTTCAGGAAGCTGAGGCTTAGAGGATGAAGCTCCTTGTCCAAGATGCTCAGCGATTGAAGTGGGTGCACTGGGATTTTAACCCAGGGTACCCCTCAGGAGCTCATCCCTGTAACTATTATACTCACTCAGAGCAAGTCAAGCATTGAATTTCATTTTCAAATTGGAACTAGGTGCACACGCCACCACCCACGGCCACTGAGCGGATTCCGACTCCCAGAGGCCCTATGGAAGAGAGTGGAACTGCCCCATAGGCTTTCTGAGACTGTACATTTTTTTGGGGGCGGCCGGCTTCTTTTTGTTCCCTGCGATGGCTGGTGGGTTTGAACTGCTGACCTTGTAGTAAACAGCCCCACACTTAACTAACTCATTGTGCCACCAGGGCTCCTTTGGAACAACATAGAATCAACTAGTGGGTCAACACTGACTATGTATCAGGCCCTGTTCTAGGCATGGGACAAATCAGACAAGGTTTTGGGCAACCCCTCTGGAAGTTAGAGTATAGTGGGAGAGACAGTTAATGACCTCATGAGCATGTGCAGGCCTGTAAGTAGCCATACCCATGTTTATACTACACAAATATAAACATCCTGACCTGTCACGTGAGCTATTTGGGGCCAGAGCTAATTAGTTCACAGGCAGGATAGTCTTTCATGGAAGACAAACACGTGATAACCGGGGTGAAAGGAGACAAAAGAGAGGGTGCTATTGGGGACAAGACACGCCCCTCAGAGAGCATGTGCGATTATCATGGTTGTTGTGCACCCCATCTACATGTGTGCCCAGAGGACCTCCCTCAACATGACTGCTTCCCAGAGAGTGGCCTGTGGACTGCTAAACAAACCTGTTTTCCCGGGGCCTCCTCCCTCCCTCTCCAGCCCAGGGCACTCCCTTCCTCCCCTGGGACACCTCTGCCCAAGTTTCCTCTCTCATGTGTCTGCTCTCTCTGGGAGTTAGCTCTGATTCTTTCCTCGTTCAGCCCGTCAGTCAACACACTTTGCAGAGGACTTCCGATGTGCTGTGACTGAGAGGTGAACAAGGCTGATAAGCCTGCCCTCAGGCAGCTTCCACTTTATTGGGCCCAACAAAGAAGCAAAGGTCACTCCAGAGCACAAAGAAAGGATGCTGACTACACGGAGAAGCAGTCAGTTGGGGGAGCAGGCAGAAAGAACAGTGCACACGAAAGCTCGGTGGGAAAGGAGAAGGTCCAGATGGACTTGCCAAGAGGCAGATGGGAGAGTGGAGGGTGGGTCCGGAGTCAGCCTGCCTGGGTCTAAGTCCCGGCTCCCCACAAGCAGCAGTTTGTCTGGAGCAAGGGCCACCTGCAGCCCCCACTCATGAGGTACGCATGGGTCATCCGGGAGCAGAGGGGACGCTCAGAAGGTGCCCTTCAAGGTGGGCTGACTCACGTCCCCATATGTGGGCTTTCACCACTCCTTCCTGCCGGGGCCAGGATTGTCAGTACTCCAACAAAACAGTATTTAAAAATAATCCCATGCCACCTCGCCCACCACCACCCACCGATTACAAAAGGAGAATAAATTGACAAACTGCAATTGTTTTCATGGAAGTAGAAAGCTTCATCTTTCCCCTAAGGAGCTGCTGCTGGTGGATTTGAACTGCTAACCTCAAGATTAGCAGCCCAATGCGTAACTACTACACATTAAGGGCTCCTAAACTTCAGTTGTATTTTATTGGCAATGGGGTGTGTGTGTTATTGTTTTTGTTTTTAGTCCAAAGCCAAACAGGCTCATTGTTGTTATATTTATTTATTATTTTAAAAATCTTTTTATTGGGATCTTGTACAACTCTTATCACAATCCATACATCCATCCATTGAAGGCTTATTTTTAAAAAGCAAAATAAAACAAAAGCAAAACATATTTACAGCAAATGAGAAAAGAAGCACACCCATGATATCAGCAAAGCACCCTATCCTACCACTTTCTCTGTGTTCAGGACAGGCAAGTGGGGGAGAAGAGGCTTTCGTGGGCTAAAAATAAGCAGCCTCGTGACTCTAAGATCATTAAGCTCTCAGCCACTGGCTGGACCTTCAGGAAACAGGTGACCCAGGCACCACACAGCAGGGCCCCCGTGGCCTGGACCAGAGAAGTGTGTAATCAATCAATCTCTCTCTCTCTCTCTCTCTCTCTCTCTCTCTCTCTCCTGCTCCTCAGCGGTCAAGGACTTTGTGATTATTCCCCTGCACACCACTCCAGAGACATCCGTGAAGGAGATTGATGAGTTGGTCGATGTCTACATGGAAGTGAAAGAACGTTGGAAAACAGAGGTTCGTTGAAGTCCTACCTATGGAGTCAGAATCTTGTTCTCAGTGGAATGAGCAACTCCCAGGCTGGTTTGCGTGGGACACCACAACTTCTAGTTAGGCCTCTCCTTGACCCTAGATATCGCTCTTGCTAAACCTGCCCAAAAGAGTCATGGGAACCTGCACCACTGGTCACAGGTTCCAACATCTCCTGGGTGAAGAGCTCGTGCCAAGGTACTGTGGTGAGGCTCGATGGGTACAGGTTTATTTAGTACCCCGTGAGGTAGGCACCCTGCCCATTCCCACTCTGTGAAAAGAGTGAGGCACAGAGCAGTTAGGAGTCTTGGTTACAAGTGTCAGAACTTAGATCAATCATTCATAAAAAGAGAAAGAGATTTAGTGGTTCGTGTATGTAGAATGTCTCGCTCTGCCATGGCCGGATTGAGAGCCCAACCAAGGGAATTGGGACTTGATTCGTTGCCTTGGTTTCCCTCTCCTGGTCTTCCTTTCCTCGGGTTAGGCTTCCTTCTTCGGCAGGCAAGATGGCCACCAGCAGCTCCGTGTCCTCGGACTAAGTTCCATTGGCTCTGATTGGGTCACATCCTCATCTTTAAACCAATCAGGGGGTTGAGGTGTTCTGATTGGTTCCATCTGGGTCCATTCCACCCAACTTCCTGGATTGAGAAGGCGGGTGATCTCCCAGGGAAGCCTGCAGAGGGAGGAGCACTCTGCGTCCTGTAGGCTCTCAGGGTCTGTGGAAGCGCCCCGGAGGACTCTTCTCCTCGCTCTCGACCCTCCTCTTGGGGTTCACTGCAGTACTTCCCATTTCACCTCAATTGACTGAAGTATAAAATGTAGCAAGTGGAGTGTGGACAGACTGTGGTCAGAGCAGGGATACAGAGCGCGCGCACACACGCACGCACGCAAACACATGTGTTTCACGGTTGATAGCCAGGCAGGAGGAAGACTGTGATACTGGATAGAGTGGGGGGGAAAGTGAAGCAAAACTCAGAATCATACAAAAGGCGAGGCTTGCTGGCCTGGCAGCGACCACTGGAACCTGCCAGACCATGGCTTTTAGGCACCTTCAGACCTCGAACTGAACTCAGCTGGGCTTGAAGGTCAACAATCAGGAGAATAATAACACCAGGGGTACAGTCAACCACAGGGGACCTGAAGTGGCATTTGCCCAGGGGTAAGGCTCAGAAGGCTGAATGGAAGTGATAAACAGGGGTGAGGAGTGCTAGGACATTCAAAGTGTGTCTGAGCTGGTGACTGGAAAACCATTTTGTTGTGTAATCATTTCCCAAATGACAATTAAAAAGTTAAAAAAATAAAGTGTTAAAAATCCCCGAGCTTGGAAATAACCTAACTGCTGAACAACAAGGGCTTTTTCTCTTTCTCAGTATTGTGGTATAGTCAATGGGATACCAGGCACCCGTCTGAAATGAGGTAGGACATGACCCAAGGACTCAGGGGGGTGGACATGCTAAGCTGTTAGGGGGAGGGGAACCTACAAAACAGAATCATCACATTTTTGTTTTTAAAATCAATGAAATAGAAATGATAACAATATTAGTTTCCGACTGATAAGATTATTCTAAATTAAGGATGTAAGAGCAAATCATAGAAATTGAAAGTTAAAAAAAAAGAAGAAGAAAAAGAAGAAGAACTCAGCCCTGGTATGTGTCACTGAAGCCCACTCATTGGAAGAGTTTCCCCTTTTGCCCACTTTGTGGTGATGAGGCCTCTCCAGTACCTGGCACTTAATAGAAGCTCAATAAATCCTTAATGAACGAAAGACTTGTGAACAATTTAAGGGTGGAATGAATGAATGAGTCTTCCTCTTGCCTGGCTATAAGCAGTGGCAGGGGACAACCGCACCTCTGAGAGTCCAAGGTTGTAACCGTTTATGGGAGCAGAAACCCCCCTCTTTCTCTCGCAGAGCAGCCAGTGGTTTCGAACTGCAAACCTTTCAGATTGCAGTCCAATGTGTAACCACGATGCCACCGGGGCTCTCATCCAGTTTCTTATAAATGACAAAGTTTCTTAGACATCAGGAGTAATGATCCCTTCTACGGCCTGGTGTTATTGCTGTGAGATCTCATGAAACACTGAACGCCGAGCGGAGGGACAGAGTGCTCAGGAAAGCATGCCGGGGTGAGTGGAGGAGGTCACCACAGGGGTTAAGGCTGAGACAGCACCCTCATCCACCCCCATCAATCTCAAAGGAAGCCATGGTCCCTGAGGTCAAAACGAGATGTTTCCAAAGAAGATGCCACAGTCGGCAACAGCCCAAACAATAGCACAAACACGGAAATCCCGCACTTCCCCTGGACTGAACATGTCAAAATCCTGTTCCAAGAACCCTGGGGTTTGGAAAAACCCTTCCAAGATAGAAAATATGTGTGGTGGCTTCCGAATGGGGGTGGACAGCTCACTGTCCGACCCTTCCCTTTAAGGCCCATCCCCGTTGCCTTGATAAACAGAAATCCTGCCAGCAGAACAGAGCCCAGCTTCCAAACAATGAGAAAGAGAGAGCAGCTAAAGAGCTGTCACACACCGCACCCACGGTCACTCTTCCTGCTTGGACACGAAAGGCGTTGACTCATCCGTATGCTGATCCCCTGCAGTAGTTGAAGCCAAACATAGGAGACAGGTGGGGAATGTATAAGCCGGAGTCTTCCATCCCCACCTCACTGCATGGCGAATTGCCGAGAGGCGTGGTAATGGAAACCAGGAAGGTACGGCTACAGAGAAGCATCCTCCTGGTGCGCACACCCCTGTCCAATGCGCATCAAAGCGGTGGCTCCATCTTTATACCACAGCCTCGACTTTGAAACAGCAGAACGAAATGAAGAAAGACCCCGTTGTGTCTTTCAGAATTTCGTTTTCATGGGTGACTTCAACGCTGGCTGCAGCTACGTCCGCAAGAAGGCCTGGAAGAACATCCGCCTGAGGACTGACTCCAGGTTCGTTTGGCTGATCCGGGATGGAGAGGACACCACCGTCAAGGAGAGCACCCACTGTGCATATGACAGGTATGAGGCACCCAAGCCTTGGTGGGCGTCCGAAAGGGTGCCCTGTCTGGGCAGAGGAAGCATCACCAGGACACGCAGGAAGCAGAGCAGTGGGTACGTTTCAGCACCGTCCATCTGGACCAACCAGGGACAGTGTTTAACCTGCATGACTCTCTGTCATGCAAAGTACTACACACGGGGAGGCTAAACCATCAGAAAGTCAATTGTCTAGTCTGGAGGCTAGAAGTCCAAAATCAAGGTATTGGCTTAGCCATGTTCTCCCTGAAGGCTCTAGGTAAGGATCTCTCCTTGCCTCTTCCTAACAACACTTCCCAGCAAGCGTTGGCATTCCTTGCCACTTAGACTCATCCCTCCAGACTCCACTCCTGTTATCATATGGTGTTTCCCTGTGTGCTCCTCTCTGCTGCTGCTTCTCAAAGCACACTGGTCATTGGGCTACAGCCTACTCTGATCCAAATAGGACCTCACCTTAACTAAGGACATCTGTAAAAACAATATATAGTCAACCTAGTATAATGACCATATAGGGTGGCCCTGTAACTTAGCCGTGGGAAGCACAAGCTTTGGAGGCTGAGAGGCCTAGGTTCAAATCCTGGCTCTACCACTTGTTGTGTCAGAGAAAAAGAGAGGTGAGCTCTCTCTGTTTTCTGAACGGTAAATGGAAACTGTAGCAGAGCCTCGCTCAAGGACATGAAGATGCAATGAGGTCAGGTTCAAGGACGTGACCATGCTGCTGCTAGCATGGATGGGGTAAGTGATCAATACCATTCTACAGGGAATGCTGGTGGCTTAGTGGGCCAAGTGCTGAGCTGCTAACTGCAAGGTCGGCAGTTCAAAGCCACCAACCAGTCTGTGGGAGAAAGAAGAGGCAGTCTGCTCCCATAAAGAATTACAGCCTTGGACATAGTTAAACATTGTCCTATGGGTCACCCCGAGTCAAGACCGGCTCGACGGCAGTGGGTGGGAATCATTCCATCACAGATACCCCACATTTTATTCATCCAGTTTCCTGTCACTGGGATTTGTTGAGGTTTGCTATTATATAACCTGCTGCAGTGAACCTTCTGTCTAGGTATTTTATGCACATATTTATCATTTCCTCAGGATAAAACCACTCAAAAACAGACCAATGGGAGAAAGGGTATTTACACATTCCTGAATGCAAATATTCCTTTAGTGGCACAAATGGCTAGGCGCTGTCTCACATACTTCAGGCATGTTGTCAGGAGAGACCAGGCCCTGGGGAAGGACAGCCTGCTTAGGGGCAGCAAAAAGGAGGAAGACCTTCGACAAGACAGATTGACACAGTGGCTGCATCGATGGCCTCGACATTGGTGGCCTAAGAACAACTGTGAGGGTGACCCGGGACCGGGCAGTGTTCCACTCTGTTGTATGTAGGGGTCGCTGTGAGTCAGAACTAACTCGATGGCACCCCACAGCAAAAATGCAAGTGCATTTTAATGACAGCATTCTCTTGCGCTTGTAGGAGGCCTGGTAGCGCAGTGGTTAAGCACTTGGCCGCTAACCCTAGGGGCAGGGGTTTGTGAGAGAAAGAAGAGGCAGTCTGCTTCTGTTAAGACTATCCCTTGGAAACCCCATGGGCCATAGGCTTCGTTTGGGGGGGTGGGGGGGTTAGTACTTGTAAGAACACTTGGGAGAGTTTTAAGCAAAGCTTTGAAAGCTTCTACCTCTGTACGTAAGGTGTGTGATCTACCCGCCCCCAGCCGAGGTTGCTGACAGGGAAGCCCCTAGAAGCCTGGGTCCCATCGCCTGCTGTGAGGGGGCCTTGCACAGTAGGCACTGGTTCTCGTTTTCGCCAGTGTTGAGGTCTGATTTTCGTTCCCACGTGGCCTCCTGGTTCCTCTTGGGGCTGCGGCTTCCTCTGCAGAACCCATTGCTCCAGCTCTCAAAGTGGAAGTGGCCGGACACCGGGGACGCAGCCTCAAAGTGGGACGCTAGCAGAGACTCTGGTCCCAGCCAGCCAGCCTCCCTGTTCCACCTCCACCCCACCTTAGAAGCGAGAAGCACCTCTGCTCTCTCTCACGCACCTGGGTGTGGCATTGAGCTGACTGTCCCTTCTCTGGCCCATTCTTGTCCCTAGGAAAGGAGAGAGGGCTGGGTGCTCACAGAGTGGTGCCACAGAAGCACAGCACAAGGAGCTAATCACAAGTTCAACCCCCAGCAGGTCAGGTGTGGAAACCGTTTTTAAACACTGGTGGCTCTAAAGGGCCCTGGTTTGTGTCACGGGGATGCCAAAGGTCAGGAGCCCGGGTGGCAGAGTTATTACACGTGGGGCTGCTAACTGCAAGGTCAGCTGTTTGAATCCGCCAGCTGCCCCAGACCTGTAAAGAGTTATAGTCTTTACAGGGCCCCGAAACCCACAGGGCCAGTCTTGTAAGGTCGCTGTGTGTTAACATGGACTCGATGGCAGTGAGTTTGTTTTTTGGTTTGGCCAAAGAATGGTGGGATGATAGGTCACTTTTCACCACACTTGTATGGAACAGTTGAAGGTTAACAGAAAGTCCAGAGAGTCCTCTTAAGTGCCTACGAACTGGGCGCTAAATGAACATCAAAAAGAGCAGAGCCACTCTCCACCTGCGAGAGGATGCCGGGACCCGGGTCCGGGGCTCAGCCACAACTTAAACACATCTCCATCCCAGTCTGAGCAACGGAGGAGCCCTGGTAGCATCATGGGTTGTACTTTGGTCTGCAAACCCTGAGGTCAGAAGTTCGAAAGCATCAGCCGCTCAAGAAGAGAAGATCTACAGCCTTAGAAAGCCACAGGGGCAGGTCTTCTGTACAGTCACTATGCGCTGAGGTGACTTGAAGGTTGAGAGTGTGAGTTTGGGGCGAGGAACTTGCTTTTTGGTTGAGTTTACTGCTCATTCACCTCGGGAGAGTAGAGAGCAAACAGGGGAACCCAAAGCCCCAAGTCCCAAACCCAAACCTGTTGCTGGTAAGTCAAGGCCACCCCCCAGTGGCCCTGTACCCAGAACAGCACTGCCCCCCCAGCCAGTCTTCATTGAAGCAGCCACATCTGTCCCCCACCCCCACCTCAGGGGGAGACAGCAGACAGTGTAAGATGTGAAAATACTAATAATTTATAATTTATCAGGGGTCACGAGGGTGGCAGGGTGAAGGAGGGTGGGGAAGGGGAAAAAAGAGCCGATACCAAGGGCTCAAACAGAAAGAAAATGTTTTGAAAAGGATGATGGCAACATAGGTACAAATGTGTTTGATACCATTGATGTGTGGATTGTTGTAAGAGCTAGAAGTGCCCCCAATAAGATGAGTACTTAATTAATTAAAAAATGTAAAAGGACCCAGCCTGTGGCTGTCAAGTGCACTTGGCCTCATGGGGGCCGTGTGTGGCAGAGCGGGCCTGCTCCCGAGACGGTTCCTCGGCTGGCGTCTTGAAGGAAGCCCATCACTAGCTCTCCTCTGCGTCGCTTCAAGCCACCTGGCTTCAGTTAGTAGCCAAGAACAAACCACTTGCCCCACCCAGGGGCAATGCAAGGGCCGGGGCCAGAGTCTCAGCCAATTCCAGCTGCCAAGCACAAGCTTGGTGCACCTTAGAACATAACCGATGGGCTAACGCTAATGCTAATCTGCCATCCCTGCCCTTGCTCCAGGATCGTGCTTAGAGGACCCGAGTTGGTTGGCGCTGTGGTTCCCGACTCCAGCGGCATCTTCAACTTCCAGGAGGCATATAAGTTGACTGAAGAGGAGGTGAGGCCGCCCTTTGTCTTTTGGTGATACCGTCTTGGGGAGACACCTTGGTGTCACCTTGTAAGGTCACCACGGAAGGCACACTACGGTCAGACCTGGAGGTTCCGTGCCTGTGGTTCTGTGGTCTGAGCAGCTGTCCGAATTCCAGGGACACTGCTCACCAGTGTGACTGTGACCTCTCTCCTCTCTGCCCTTGAATGTGCTCATCACGACCACGAGAGCCTTTGGGCCATCGGCGATCCGCTCGACGCTTCCTCATTCCCAATGTCCTCGCCCTTTTCCCCTTGCAGGCCTTGGCTGTCAGTGACCACTTTCCCGTTGAATTTAGATTGCAGACTTCGAGGGTCATCACCAGCAACAAAAAGGCAGTCCCTCCCAAGAAGAAAAAGACCCGCCGCTCCTAGATGCCCGGGCGCTCGTTCCCCTAAGCATGTCTTGCCTCTGAACACACAGCTTTAGCAAAGATGATCTGCTGCCTGCGCTCAGGACGCGAGGCTGGTCCCACAGCTTTCAATTCCCAACTCAAATTCAATCCCACTGGAGCCAGATGGGGAGCAGAGCCCTCCTAGGCCCCGGGCCCCCTGGAATGGTGCAAAAGGAAACGACCCAGGAAACGACCCGGCGACATGGAAGGAAGGTCTTCACCCACAAGCCAGAGCCCGGAGGCTGCCAGTGCAGCCGTCATGACCACCACTCAGCCACGCCCCACGAGGAAGAAGCACCTGGGGCTTTCCCTCCTCACAGAGACCCTGCTCCACAGGGACAAGCAGCAACACCAGGACTTGGGGTTCACTCACTGCGTGAGGGCTCTGCCCCCTCCTGCCTGAGGTCACAGCCCGTCGTGCCTTGTATGATGGGAGTGAAAGGCCATTCCCAGTGGCCTCTGAATTGCCCCTCACCACCCCAAACCCCACTCAGCCAGCCCAGGGCCATCCTTTGAAATATTCCCATCCCAGCATCCCACCGGTTGCCACCCCTGCTTCTGAGTCTTGCAGGGGCTCCCCTCCCAGCCTGGTGAGTCCAGGGTCTTTGGAGACCCGCAAAGGTGTGTTCCTGGGCATCTGGAGCCAGCCTCCCTTCCTGCCAGTCTGCCACCCTGTCCTTGGGCTCCAGGTAGGCTTCCTCCTCCTGCACACCCGTGCCATTGCTCCCGAGGGCTCTGGCTCTGGCAGACATGCCCCACGTGTCTAGGAGCCTGGGCGAGGCGCCCCTTGGCCCCCACATACACTGTCCCTCTGTTGTACCACTCGCCACACCGGGGACAGTACAGGCTCCTTGGGGTCCCCTGTGACTAACGGCAGTTGGCTGGCAGGCACTCGGGGTTTTTGTTTGTTCTATTACTGTCACCAAAGAGGTTTGTGGGAAAACAGCACCATGTTACCTGTAGGCCAGGTACCCGCTTTGTTTGTTTTGCTTTGATTTCTCTCACGTGACTTCTCGGGGTGAACTATGCAAGCAGTTGGCAGGTGGGACCCCACCCTCCACCCCAGAGGCACCGCAGAAGAAAGGGCTGGTGGTCACAAGCCCTGGAACCCCGCTGGCTTCCTCTGCACACAGGGGTGTGTCCCGAGTCTGAGTTGGCCCGGAGGCAGCTGGTTCGGCTCTGATTCCTCCTACCAACCCCCAGCCCCAGCCCCAGCCCCCCTTCTCAGAAGTAAGCCCTCCCCGCAGCGTGTACGATTCTCCAGAGCGTCTGTGTGAGACTCGGGTGGCACCACGTGGCGTAACCTCACCCAATAAAGGGCCTCCTCCATACGCAGAGTTCCCCTCCTCGCACGCATTTCTTTTGGCTTTTCACGGAAAATGTGACTTCCGAGTCAAAGGTAGAGAGGCAATTCTCTCTTTAATTATGACACCTGACTTCGGGGCACCTATCCAAAGGAGGGCCCTGCTGAAGCCTGAGGGAAGCCTCTTGCCCAGGCCTCCGATTCAGCCCAGAGAGGGTGTCCAGGCGTCCAGGCTGCTGGGACCCCTGTCACACCCTCTTTGGAGGCCAGGTTCACCGTCTCAGGAAACTACCCAGTGTCCAAGGTCCCGAGCGGTCAAGCAAGCCATTTACAACCAACTTGTTCTGCGAGGAGCGAACGAAGGTCCTTCCGATCCAGTGCACTGGCAGTGTGACTGCCACAGGGCCTGCCTGGCTGCCGGGCCTGGGGTTGCGTTCAGCAGGGAGCTGGCCAGACACTGAATGAGCTGACCTGGGGCTCTGGCCTGCTTCTGCCCCCTGCGGCTTCCTGGGCATGAGCACATCCCTCTGCCTCCCACAGGGGCAGGTGTCTGCCGGCCCCTGATCAAGGCCAAGTCTCCCAGACCGAGCAAACAGGGCCGGGCTCCCTCTCACTGTGCTCTGGGCGGTGGGGCGGGAAACACCCCCTCAGGGCTCAGGATCACCCTAAAGCTGTGGGCAGTGGGCTCCAAAGACACTTTGTCCAGAATCCTGGGGAACCAGTTGCATGTAGTGAGACTTCCAGGCCCCAGCCCCCCAGAGTCGGCCCCAGGAAGTTTGAGACGGAGACCTTCTTAACCAATCCCTCCCCACCCCAGGTGATTTCAACACCAGCTAGGAGGCCCATTAAGCACGCTCTCTGATTCCTCCTTAGATAGGGAGCCTGGCTGGATACCCGCTCTGGGCTGCCTGCTGCTGTGAGACCCTGAGCTCACCACTTCCCCTCAGTTTCCTAATCTCTAGAATGGGGACCATTAGCAGTTCCACTCAGAAGGACCTGCGTGTCAAAGGCTGAGCACCTTGCAAGTCAGTAGGAGCTGTATTCGATCAGCAGGCCTTTTTTGGTCAAAGGGGAAGCCAGGTTAAGTCTTTGGGGACATGTCGTGCTCATTTAGAAAGGGTTTTGGTCAGACAAGTTTCCGTCTCACTCACCACAGCAGCTGTTTCAGCAAGTGAGAGCTGAGAAATGAAGACGCTTCCGCTTCCAGCGATGGTGATTTCTTCTCCCACGTTCCCACGTCTGCCTTGCCTCAAACACAGCAACCCTCCTCCGGAGCTCTCCACCCCGCCCCTGCCAGGGGTCACGGGCTTCTCTGATTAGCCACCCGGACTTAGCACTTGGCGGGGAGGGGGCAGAAAGATACACGTGGGAAGGGCAATTGCCCAACCAAGAAGGAGTAACAAACTGCAATGAGCAAAGGCACCTGGCCTGTAAGGACCAGCTGACAACTGAGAGGGTCCCACGGAGCCACTGTGCAATTGAACGGAAGTAAAGAGACAGGCAGCGTGCAGGCTGCTCACCTCTTCCATGAAGCCAGGGAGGAGCGCAAGCGCACGAGAAAACATATTCTCCAACAGGCTTATATGATCTCGGGGCTAGCAAGTCTCAGCAGTCACATAACAAGGTGGGCAGGGTCTCACCCTAGACGCTCCTGGGCTCACTGGGAGAGTAGCCCAATACCAGTGCTGGGGGCAGGCAGAGGGGGGGCGTAGACCACCTCTTGGGCAGGGAGAACAATGGAAACATGGCTGGTCCTACAGACAAGGGCCTTGGGCCGCACAGTGAGCAGCCTCGTGCTTGTAAGAAATATTATAATAGTAGCACTATTGTGGGGGGGGGTGTTGGGGGGAACGATTTTAATTAGGAGGATATGACGGGGATCCATCTCGACCTCACACATGTGAAGGCCCTCCTCCACCAGTCTTGGCCTTCCAGACTCTCTCTTAGGATCGTAGAGAGCTAGTCCTCATACTGTCCTCAGTTTC